ATCTTTTCACACAGACTTTTCTTGTCAGTCTCGGTTGGAGAACGCCCTTGGTACCCTTGTTGGCATCGACATTTATAGCTTCCAAAGGTGTTCTCACAGAGTGTTCCAGGTCCTGGACAGGCTTCAGTATTCAAGCATTCGTCGATGTCTAGAAAAATTAAATTAGTAACTCTATATCACTCGAAGGTAAAAACATTTTTCTTTTATTAGGAAAAGGTTTAACACACCATCATATGATTATCGAAAACTTGAACACATGTTTAATCAATTTATCTGTAGTGGTGGTTAAAATAATTTCGAGCTAAATTTATACATTCATAAATAGAAAGCATAAATTTTACTATCACTTGAAATATAAAAATGAAACTTTACGCAAATGTGAAAAATTTGGCTTTATAATTTATAGTATGAGATTTATTTTAATTAAAAATACTTTTACCTGTACAGTATCCTTCGTCATCTTTGTATCCTTTAGCACACAAGCACATTTTTCTTTTATTTTGGAATGAACATTTGGATTTGGGTCCACAATCACAAACTAAAATATAAGAAAATAACATAAATAAAATAAATAAATATACATAATATATACAACAATAATATATAATTTTATAAAAATTATAAACATACTGTTATACAAATCAAAAAATGTCGCGCTATCTCCTCATCATAAAATCTTCTATATGTAAGTTTGAAATTTTCCTTTTGTAATAATGATTAAGGATTAACTTTATAAAACTAAGAAGAAAAAAGGGGAAAAGGAATTAAAATTATCATTTAAGAAAACTGAACATTTGGCAGTTGGCATATACCTGTCATCCTGGGATGTGTTTTTTTCCGAAATATTATCATAACACGCGATGAAAATCTTCGGGAATTTCCGGAAGATTTCATTTTTATATTTAATGTCGTAACAAATTTTATACAGATTCACAATGTCTGAAATCAGAGATGTCTGAAATCAATGTGTACGTACACACACACACACACACACACACACACACACGCACGCACGCACGCACGCACGCACGCACGCACACACACACACACACACAGATATATATATAGGTGAATGTTGGCAATCACATAGTCGCTTTGGTAAATGCCTGAAATATATATTTGGTCTAGTTAAGAGCAACTGCCCAGTACGCCCTACAATGTGTTTTTAAGGTTCAGTGAGACTCCCCGGTATACATTTGCCCGGTATACCCTACAGTGATGTTTTTTTAAAATTAAGTGCCACTGTCCGGTATAGATTTAACCGGTACTCCCAACACTGATGTTTCTCCTAATCTGTCCTAGCCAGGTATTAAAATATTGAATAAATATAATAATAACAACGAATAGATTAATATCAAATCGGAAAAAAACAAATATTTTGGACATTCTCCAAAGCCACTATGTGATTGTTGACATTCACAGGTGAAAGTCGACATTCTTCTGATTTTGGTCATTCACGGAATACCAGCCAACATACCAGCCAACATACCAGCCAACTTGTGCGGTCACTGAAAAAGATTTTACTAAGTAGTAGTAAAGGAACAATTAAAATAAAATTAATAGGAAACAACTCCAAACTTTGGACCACTCACCTACCCTAATTATTAACATATTTACCAGATGGCGGCTATCCCATATATTTTGAGAGTCAGAAATCCGTGTGCGTCGAAAAAACGATATGTTTATTCAGAGAAAGTACGTTTTGAAGTCTGATTTTGTAACTTAAAATATCCTATGTAGTAATTAATTAGCATATTTGAGATCACTCTCTCTATAACCATTGAGATTGAGTCCTAGAACGCGAAGATCGATCAAAAGATATTCAGGGCTCTCCGTTTTTTATTTGAGCATCCCATTAGAGGCGGCAAGAAGACAAGCATTAAGGCAGATATTTCAACTCTTTATTTTAATTATTGTGGCTTTCATGAAAATTTATCTTCCTATGAAATTTGTATTGAATCTTCTTATATGTATTGAATCTTTGCGTGTATCTTCTTATAAAATATGTATGTATGCATCATATAGAGGTAAACATTCCTTTATATAAGGTTGGAAGTAATTTGAATGTGTGGGCACATATTTTTACTCAAAAATATACTGAATTAAGAATTATACATCAAAACATAATTATCGCTCTGTTACTAGAAAGTATTCATGAGAACGGGAGTTCGAATCCAGGGAGCCGAAAACTCCCTGTGTAGTAAATGGTGATTGGTGCACGTTAATTATGTCGGGTCACAAAGTACTCCATGTTCCCATTACAAGTTATACCCTTAGGGGTACTGATTTGGAGATTGATCGTTCTCTGGTTCAGGTCAAAATAAAATTGCGGGAGTGGCAGAAGTCGAATTCTTGGTCATAGATGGCGCCACTGAAAAACAAGAACAATCGCACCACCTCTGCCGTATGGGCAGACGACAACAACAACAACAACAACTGGAAAGTATTTGCATTTCCGTTCTTGAGAACTGGCCTGCCTACCACTATATTTAAAAGATGGGCAGACATTTTAAACCCAAAGCTTTTAGAATTTTTGGATTCCAACATTTTACAAGACTCACCACGAAAGAGCTGGTACAAAGTGGCTTTGAAAAAAGAACTTTTAAATCACTTATATGTAGTGGTATACAAAATAAGTTTAAATGATTAAAAATAGCACATTAAACACTAGCGTAGCTACCACCAGGAAAAAGTTTCACAAAAAGCGTAAAAAGTTGGCAGCCTTGAGAGAGAAATGGCAAAAAAGGAAAACACTTTTTTCAAACGTCACTGCATTTTGACATTTCTGAAATACTTTTGGTACAGGGGTTTAAAATAATAATTTTTACACGCTGATCAAATGTCAAAACCAAAATATGTCTCGACGCCAATGACAACAAAAAATATTTAAAAAAAAATACAACTTTTACATGCTGCCAAAAATTCTCTTGACCGTTTCTGGAGTTATAATAGAAACTACTTCCAGCCATCACTGGGATTCGAACCCGATTCACCGCATCGGGAGGCGTAATTTTGACCTGAACCAGAGAACAATCAGTCTTCAATTCAGTACCCCCAGAAGTATATTTCTTATAGAAATATGGAGAACTTTGTGACCCAACAGATGTAACTTGCACCAGTCATTATTTTTCGGTTGGCTGGATTCAAACTCCCGTTCTCACGAACGTAAGTGCAGTGTCTTAAACACATCCTGACTCTAGTAATACTTTAGTAGGCTAAGTGAATTCATTGTCTGGACAAAACTGTATTGCCACCAGTATTCTAAAAAAAAAGTAAATTCCAATTATTTGAGCACAAACTTACGGACACATTTCCCAGAATTTTCAGAAAAACCAGAATCGCAGAGACACTTAGAAAAGTTCCCGTTGCTATCGAAAGAACATTCGCCATTCGATCCACATTCGCATTCTGAAAAAATTTAAAAAAAGCTATAAAAATACAATGTTTTGCGTAACGAATAAGTTTAAATAAACGCTACTATCAGGACTAAAAGAGGTGTGAAATAGAGATACTGAAAGAGATGTGGTGTTCAAGGCAAAGAATACAGAAAAGGAGAAGTCTAGTTCTTCTAATGCATAACGAACGCGGGAAATTGCTCTATTCGGTACGTTATAGCAGAAAAACAGCTTACAGGGTGAGCAACGTACTCAGATTTAACAGAACATCATATGTATCAAGATCCAGCGCATGCGTATTAGAAGAAAAGTGACTGTTTGGAGGTACGTCACATGTGAACCGGTTGCACAAGCGTACATGGATGGTTGACTGAATATAAGCAATAACAAGCTTCCAAAAACCGGAAGAAATTTAGAAAACTTCCGGTGTATTCCTCCGCTTATGTTATACGCTTACGAGGCGATGTGTGAACAGGCTTAATATTCTGGAAAGTTTTATTATTGTGAATAGTGTTAGGATTTACGCGTGATTTTACCATTAAAAAGAGTTTCCTGTAATTTGTAAATTCTAAGTGATTGGGAGCCTAAAACAAATTTAAGAAAACATAATCACAACAGAAATAAAGTGTGTAGTTTGCCATGTTTTGAGTGATAATAAGTAAATAAATAAATAAAGATATTGAGGTGAAGAAATTGTTATTTTTAATAGCATTGCATAATATGGAAATTTATTTTTAAAAAAATTCTGACAAAAAAAAAAATCTGAAGCTCTCGAAAAGAAAATATTAAAAAAAGACCCATTTTAATGAGTAAAATAAATTCAAATTAAATATTTTAATTTAAAATATTTATAAGGTTTAAAAAAACCAAAAATTAAAACAAAACCATTGTAATACGATTGACTATATTTTTGGTACTGTACTTCAAATGTTACTTACATTTCTTGAATTATTGTTTAATTTTAAATAGGAAACGCTTAATAAAAATCCCTTAGGCCGAAAAAAAATATATTTAAAAAAAATTAAATAATTCAGTAAGTAAATTAAAATATAGCGTTGCAACACCACTTTTCGAACTTCTCATGTTACAATAACATTGAATTAAAATAACGGAACTCTAAATTGCTCTTGCAACAGAAAAAAAAACTGATAAGACAAATAACTTGGATTTAAGATGAAATGGGAACAAATAAATAGTATTAAAAAGTAATTATTAAAATGAGTGGTAATATTATGAATGATTGAGTTCATATAAACAATAACATGCTTCCTAAAATTAGAAAAAATTTAGAAAACTTCCGGTGTATCCTTACGCTTACAAGGTGATGTGTAAACAGGCTTAATATTCTAGAAATTTCTTTTATTGTGATTTTCGTTTAAATTTATACGTAATTTTACCATTCATAAGAGTTTGCGTAGTTCATAAATTCTAACAGGTCGCGAGCATAAAACAAATATAATAAAATTCTCTGACGTTTCCACATTGTCATTTGATATTTTCTTTTGATTCAAATGCAATTTAAGAATCTATTATTATTTCTGGTTTTAACAAAGGTTTTTAATTTTTTTTATTTATGGTTGCACGAATTTTTATAAATTTTTTAAAAAAATTACAAATTTAGACTTCAATGAAAAAAATGCTCATTAAATGGTCAGAAAGAAGAAGATATAAGAAATTATTTACTTTTGCATGTTCCAAAATCGTCAATATATCCCTTGAAACACTGACAAACTTTTTCACCTTTGTCTTCAAAAGTGCATGTTTTTGAATTATTTCCACAATCACATTCTAAAAAAGATATATATTTTTTTAAAAAAAGTATCACAAAACGTAATGATTTTTAAGATTCGAAGAAATATACATAAAAAAGTGTATCATAATTCGATATAACGAAGTTTCCTAGATATTTCAACATATTTTTTCAAAAATTATTAATGGTTGTAAAAGATAACACTCTGACTGTAAAAGAAATACTTTTTTTTATTGTTGTAGTAAAATAACAATTAAAGACAGGTTTTTTTGTTATTCATATCTATATCAGTCTTTTATGAACACTTATTAACAAAGAATCACTCAATCATTATTACTAGATATCAGTGATTTATGAGCTCTTATTAATAGAATACTAATCAATTTATTATTACTAGACATATGTAAATTATGAACAATCAATTATAAAATATTAATTAATCATTATTACTAGATATCAGTCATTTGTGAACATTAACTGACAAAATTCCAATCAATTTATTCCTACTAGTTACAGTCATTTGTGAACAAACATTAATAAATTATTAAATAATCATTATTAACAGACCTCAGTAATTTATGAACCATTACTAATAATTTGGATCACCATTACTAATGGATATTTGTCATTTATGAAATATTATTAATAAAATATCAATCATTTGTTATTACTGGATATCGGTCATTTATAAACCATAATTTGGATAATTTTTTCCACTTGTGAGTGCAACAGGACATGGATAATTTAAAAAGAAAATAAAATGAAAACATTGTATTATATGAGCGCGAATTTTTCAAAGTTATGTGTTTGTAACAGGATAAATTGAAGATTAAAATATGTACAATAAAAAAAATATATGCCAATTAAGTTAATACCAATCATTGCAAAATTCATTAAAAATCCGTCTTTTTTCACAGGTTTCAACTATATTGTTCCTCCTAAAAACTACTAAAAAATTTTTTTAAATTTAATACAGTTAACATTTTTATTTAATATTTTTTTAAATTTTATAAGTATAATTGGTCAATTTCTTATATTTCGCTCATAGATGTTAGGTAATTATTTTTATGAATTTAAAGTATTTTAATCATTTTTCATACAAGTTATACATACAATATTTTTCTGATGATGCTTTATAACAAAGAAGTATACCTAGGCATTTATCCGCTTTAGGACTATAAGCATATCCTTCAGTACATTGGCATACTTTTTTTCCAAGTACGAAATCACATCTCTCCCATTCAGTTTTTAAATCATCACCGCAACTGCATTCTAAAAATATAAGATAAAAAAAATCATCAGCTCTTCAGGAGAGGGGAATAGTGTGGACATGGGGCTACTAGTATAGAAAAACGGTTGACTTCTGTTATTTATAATTCGAAATTTCTCTGCAAATTTTGCAAAGTAGAAAAACTGTATTACGCTTTTATAAATCAAGCTACAAGATAACATGGATCAGGTACATACATCAAATAAAAAGATAACGTGTATCAGTTACATATATGAAGTTAAGTTATAACATGTATCAGATGCATGTATCAAGCTACAAGATAACATGTATCAGTTGTGTGTATCAAATTACAAGATAACATGTCTTACGTGTTAGCGAGAGCTTAATTTGAGCAATGATACGTAGGAAACAGATATCAACTAAAAATATTTATTTGTACACAATCCAGAAGTCAAGTAAATAGGAATAAAATGGAAATTACGAATGAATGATTCGAGCGTCTGAACGACGCGGTGTTTGTAAACAGACTGATCAGATGAGTCTCGGCGATGGCGTTGCCAGATCTTAGTGTCTGAAAGTTACAGTTACATATTCTCACATTAGGTGCATATATCAAGAAGATAACATGTATCAGCTGCATACATCAAGTTACAAAGTAACACGTAACAGTTGCATACATTAATTTGCATCAAATGCATATATCAGTTGCGTATATCAATTTACATCAAATACATATATTAGTTATTAGACAAAGAACTACAATGTTAAGCACCATATTAAAAAATTAAAGAATCTTACGGTATAAAAGTTCTTTTTTATTTTTTGATTTAATAGCGACTTCAGACGTTTTTGGTAATAGGAGTTATTGTGCATGTTGTATGCTTATTGCAGATTTTATAATCATTTTCGTTTAGCCTTTCTTTAATGAATCGACAACACGAGCCCAGTGTTGTCTCATACTGTTGAGGCAAGCTTGGATGTGTTAACATTACTAGGGTCCCTCAGATTCCTAGAAATATTTATGGCTGTTTGTAAATTCATGCTTGCAAGAATTTTCTTGATGATTAGTGCTTGAAGGGATGCCACTGCTTACAGAAAATGTAAGGAGTCGTAAAAACTCAATTCATTATTATTTTTTTAAACTATTTAGCTATTCAATCGTAACTATCACAATTGTAAATTATTCCTGTATAAAGCGAACAAAATTTTTGTATTTTTTTTCAATAGGATACTGAAAGGTATATGCTAGAAATTTTTTTTTTAATTATAATCTCGTTTAATAGGTTTTTACTTTTTATTAGTTGCCAACTTTATACAGCTATAACCACCCGTAGTATCCCTGCGGCTAAAAGTATTTCATAATTATTTTTTTAGGAGTAAAAAAGAAATAAACTGGTATTTAAACGATTTTTTTTTATAGTCTTATTAAAAGACGGGATTTACTTAGCACTAACTAATTTGCATGCTAATGTGCTAACTAATTCGCTAATTTTGGTTATGAAAACATACTCAAAGCTAATGCATATAAGTTATGTTTAAATTAAAGTGGAAGCAAAACTATTTCCGTGACATTAGTTTGACCTCTTCGAAGCGGGATGCATGTAACTAACCTTTAAAACCACAGAATCTGAAAAAAGATTTTGAGTGCGTTGATTGGATTTCGCGGCAACGTGATCTGTGATGTATTTCATTTTGCTATACTTGCTATTTTAAGCACAGAGTGATTTTATACTAAAGCTGCTCTTTCAAACTTGAAAGGTCAGTTTTTTAGTCTGAGAAACTGCCTTCTTTATTTATAAATGAAATAGAAATTATTACCTTTAAAAGCGATGTTCGAAATTTTGAAAATTGCAGCAAGTGGGTAAAAGAATTTGGGGAACAGACAAATACAAAATGAATTTCCAGAACTTCGAAACCTCACGGATAAAGATTTTTTGTTGAAAAGAAATAGTTTTAGTTATTAAACGAAATTCTGTATTTAATTTTCATTGGAAACGCGTTATTTGTTACATTTATAACTATCACATGCATGAATTCTTATGAAGCTAATATCAATTTAATTTATTGAATAACTTTGAAGTCTGAGTTTAAATGCCTTGCTAAATTCTTATATTTACTATGAAATGAAAACTAAATTGTTTTAAATTGACATTTATCGAATTGAAATAATATTTTATTTATTTAGTGTGGATTACTAAAATTAAATTAATAAGTTTTAAATTTTATATTCTATTTATCGTGACAATTTGTTTTAATAAAGTGAAACTAAGAGATCCGCATTTAATCTACCTACTTATAACTTGCTTTGAATGTTTTCTTGTGTCTGTTAAATGTTTTTAGTACCGAAATACTATTATTTGACATTAAGGAAATCGAGCAAATGTCCTTAAAGATGTTTATTATATTAATTTTTCATGCATAGCTCCCTTCAAAATCAAACTGAATGATTTTGATTTGTTCTCTAAATTAATACAATGAGTGACGGGCGAATAAATTCGCAAAAATGTCCACCCTTTTAATTATAATATATTTCTACTGCATTTTGAATTTCTTTTAATTATTTAATTGCAGGAAATTATTTGTTTGTCACTATAGTGTGTTTATAAAAGTACCGCAGAAAGAACGTAAAAGAAGTGTCTAAAAGCAACAATATCTATTGGCGATCGAAATGGGCTACAGGTGGCGTAGAGCAGAACTCTCTACCTATGGCAACACTTCGCACGCTTTCAGAGTCACAGGAGAATGAAGTATGTTGGTTTTTGCCGGGATAGCCTGGTCGGTAGGGCGCTGGGCCCATATCCAAGAGGTCGTGGGTTCGATCCTCGCCGGCCGAAGACTCCCCGTGTAGTAAATGGTGACTGATGCACGTTAAATCTGTTGAGTCTCAAAGTCCTCCATGTTCCCACAACAAATCAATACATCTGGGGTTACTGATCCAGGAGTTTCCTTGTCTTCTGGATTGGTTCAAAATTACAAGGCTACGGAGTTGAACGTAAGTAGTCGTAAACCCATGAAATTGGGTCGGCTGTTCAACGACGGTTATAAAAGTATGTTGGTTTCTGTCTTGATTTTTAAATAGATTAAAAACTTTTTAAACTAGAATACTATTTGGAAATGAAAATTACTTTTGAACATAATTCTAAAAGAAAGCGTTTAAGAACTTTTAAAAAAGTGTTTTTGTAAATTAAATACGATAAATAAAGAAGGGGGAAATGTAGTACATTCCTATACTACTAAGAAGAGAAGGAAAGGGAAGGGTCAAGATACAGAACCAGTCATGGTACCTCCCCAGATAGCGTATTCGAGTGTTGCGATCGCAATAAAAGCAAAGCTGGACAAAAATGAAATATCAGCAGAACAAATTACGGAGAAACAATTAAGGGGGGGGAGCTCCAAAAAGACTTAACAGAAGGCGTTGTCAAGAAATCCAATCAGCGCACTCAAAATCTATCTTCATATTCTGATTGTAAAGGTTGGTTACGGCATTGTCGCGTCATTCTTCTGACAAACAGGGTAGGAAAGATAAAACTTTTAGAGTATTTCTTGTTGTCTATGCAGTTTATAAGAGGTCATTATGATAATAAAAGTTCGATTAATTTAATTCACCATTACACAGTTGAAACTAAAAATTTTAGTTACTTTTTGAACAGTGGTTTTAATTCCTATGTTAATTCTGCGCCTCTACACATCACTTTTCATTCTTTATAATGTATATGATTATGTTGTGATTTTATGTTTCTCTGTCATTCCTTATTTTTACGTCATCAAGGCACACTTTTATACATTTTCTACTGTCATCATATCAGATGAATCGGTCAGGGCTTCCGAGATACGCGATCTATTGTCCAAAAAAATAGTTATTACATTAAAAACTGAAGTTATAATTACAGTGATAGCAAAAATAAGCCTGTTAAATTGGCTATTTAAGCTTCCCGTTTTTTTCCATCCTGATTTTGATTCTGTACGAATGCATTAAGGACTTGCCCGTCTAGAACAGGTTAACCCTTTGCTTTTTCGGCCGGTACAATAAGTGAACCAGAATGGCTTCATCAGGCTGAGAGGATGTCATCAGAGAATGAACAATTTCCAGACCTATGCTTTCGTGGAAAATCTAAATACTGAAAAGAAAGACTTACTTTTACAGGATTTATCGTCGCTGTCGTACGTCTGTTGAGCAGCTTTGCACTGGCAGTAAGCTCTTTGGGTACGGCTATCATATTGGCAGGTGACGTCATCACCACAAAGCTTGTTTTCACATTCATAGATGGTCTCACAGTATGGTCCACCCGTGCCTGTCAAACACACGCAGATGTCCTGCAAGCAACGTGCTCCGTTTGCGCATGCGTGTTTGTCATCGCACATAGCTGAAAATCAAGGTGTAAATTTGGCAATATTAGCCTGTTAACAATGTAGGAAAAGTTGTTTTCTAAAAATCAGAATAAATACAGAAGTGCAAAATTTTCCCCACAAATTTAAAATGGTAAAAAAAGGATTTAATTTAAGATTTAGAAAATAATTTGGACATTTAGATGTTTTATAAGACACCGAGACATTTTAATAATTTAAAGATCTTTAGGGTACGATGTAATATTTTGAAGTACTTGTGAAATTTCTTGAAAAACGTTTGATTTTTGGAGAGTTATTTTTCTATCATTTTTAATAATGTGGACTCTCAGAATGACAGGTCAAATAAATATAACATAATCTATAATTAATTACAATCTGATTATCTAATTTTATTGTGTTATTTGATTTTCATAATAATTATTTAGAACTTCCAGGTTACAGGTCAAATAAATATAACATAATCTATAATTTATAATAACCTGTAATTATAATCTGTAATTAAGATCTAGTTTGACTGTGTAATTTGATTTTCATAAAGATTATGATTGCTGTAAAAAATAAAAAACGATGAGTAGTTTATCTATGACCTGCCAACATACACTATAAAAATTAACGTAAGCAACAAGAAATTCAAAATTGAGGTGTCTGCTCCTAAAATGGTAGCAAATAATTTACACCACAGTGGTGTAAAGTATTCATAACATTCAGCATATTTTCATAGATAAAGATAATAATTGTTGATAGACGACCTTTTCTAAAGTAACGAAGTAGATAAATTGTTATTATTGTAATATTGTCTCTTTACATGCAAACGAAATTGTATATCCAAGCAGGTAAAGCATGATTCGAAAATTCTGAAATCTATAATTATTAATACTTTTATGTAAAATAATCTTATAAAAACCAAAAAGAGGTGAGTACCATATCTATGACCTTTTAACATACAAAATGAAAATCAACGTAAGCAACAAGAAATTCAAAATTGAGGTGTCAACACCTAAAATGGTAGCAAATACTTTGCACCACAGTTGCCTGGTAAAGCAGCATAAATAAGTCTTGGTTCATGGTGTTTCACAACATTAAGAAACCTGGATTATTAAATGCGTGATGCCGAAACACTGAAAATGTTAGACACTATTTCGTGTAAAGTAGCTAACGCCATTTTCATTATTCAGCAACTCTAAAAGTATCACTGAATCTTTAATAGTATCTTTCAGTAGTACTGAATGATGTGACACACATAAAATTTATTTTTACGATACAATGTAAAGTAAGAATTATTCGTTTATGATACTTGGATATTTAAAATAATATCAGTTTATTATTAAAATCTACACAGCATCCCGAGTAGCAAAATAACTTGGCCCTCATTGGACTAATATTCACGAATCTTGGCTTAATAAGGATTCAAAGTTCGTTATTTTTCCGATAGTGGTCCTATATAGAATTGTCCTATTCACTTGATATTTTACAGCCACTTGACAATCCATATCGGCCCTAAATAGAGTTGTCGGGTTCTCCCGATATTTTATAGTCATTATTCGGCCAACATAAGCCCTATATTGGTTGTATATAGACCAATAGTGGCCCAGTATGGGACCAATATTAAAAAATCTAGACATCCCAATTTTGGTCTCTCGAAGTATGTTCATATAGGACCGATAACAAGCCAATTTTGAGCCCAACTAGGGTCAAGGCAACGGGATGGAGAGAATAATGAGATAAATTCGAAAAAAGCTCAACAAAACAGAAGCGAATAAAAATTAAATATAATAAAAATATTTAAAGCAATTGTCAGATTTATGTAAATCTTCGTATGAGAACATAATTGAGGTGGAAAATGTCAAAAAAGGGTAACACTTTTACGAAAATATGTTTTTAGTTGTTTTTGGAATATCAATCACCGATTATCATATACAGGTTAATTTTTTAGACTGCCCAAAGAAGAGAATCCAACAGCTAGGAAATATTTAAAACAATCTTTCCACAACTGACACATTTTTTTCCTCGAAAGTGCAGATTTGTAACAAACCCCTTTTTAACATTGACCGCTTCAATTGTCTTCATTATGCAAGTAAACACCTGCATGATTTCTATGACAATTAACTTCTGTTTCGGTGGAATGTTCAGCAGCATGCGAGACATCAATAATTCGCTTTCATGTGATCGATTAATCGATCGTTGTCATCTGACGGTTCCAAAAGGTACGCCAAAACATGTGGAAAAAAAACGTAGCAACAAAAGCGAGACAGTTGCTAAAAAAAATTGCGATCGCTGAAAGGCGATCACAGTAGGTTACCCATTGGCAAAATGGTTGTTGTCTAATTTAGAATGAGTACTGAATTTTTTTTATCTCCTCTATTTGTGATATTTACCTGAATTAGTATTGAGAACGATCCAGTTTAACTGTAAGTTAGAATTTTTGATTCTTAATTAAAAGAATAAAACTTTCGTTCAACTGATGAAATCTCTTATTCTCAATTTAAGAGGAATTTATGGGATCTTTCTGATCCCATATCTCAAAAATAAACTCACCAACTTAATGCATAGCAAAATTAAAAGTGAAAAAAAGAATTCTAAAAAAATTATCAAACAGCAGCAATCGCCATAGCAGCGCATGCAATGACGAAGCATGCGCACTGTTTACTATAACTCTTGAAGACAGCTGAAAAGTGTGATGACGTCCAAATAAGGAGCAATCACCCTCAAACCCTAAACAACACCCATTTGGCCAATGGACAATAATTTAAAAGAGCAAATGCATCCAATATTGATGTGAGCTTTCTGAATCACATAGTACATTTATCATCCTCTTTGTTTTTGTAAATATATGGCTCATCACCATGTTGTATAAAAATATGATTCCCAATTAAAATGTTACATAAAAACACAGATTCGATGGAGAAAATAAGTAAATTACTTACGTGTACAGATACTATAATTTCCTGCTTTAAATCCAGGTTCACATGTACAAACTTTCTTACCATCTTTAAATTTGCAGTCTTTTGAATGACTGCCACAATCACATTCTGAAATTTTAACGAGTACCTTAAATATTCATTTATGAATGAACATTCAACTATAAGGGACTACAAAAGATCGTTGTATACAAGAACATTATCTTAGATCATATGTAAGCAAATACAAAAAATGATAATAACAATGATTTCTATCCGTAAGTTAAGCTAAATCAGAGGATTCCAGAAACAGACGCCATCGATAATAAAAGGAATCTTTACTATTTATCACAACATCTGACGTATGCAGTTCTCTCGAAAAATGTTTCTTTGTAGTGGCAACATTTCCATGTCCGAATCATAGCTCTAAAGTTAAAAAAAAATAAGACTGAGGGAAAAAAATTATTGCATTTATAACAATACTTGATCTTACCCAACCCGAGGATTTCAAATTTGTAATGAGTTTTATTCCGAAAGCTACAGATTTTCTTTGTTTTTAAAATTGTATTTTTAGTTAAATTTATTTCTTCGTCTGATTGTACAAGTTTATAAAGAACTTAAAGGATTGTATAGATACATGTACGCTTGTGCCTATACGTATAATGGGTATAAAACATAACACTTAAGCTGAAAAACATATGACCTTAACATATTGCGTCATAAACGGTAATGAAACGCCCACTTCTTACAATACTCTCTGCAGCAGAGAAATGACCATTTTGCCAACTTCAGTAATTAATAGGTTTNGACTTACTTTTACAGGATTTATCATAGCTGTCGTACGTCTGTTGTGCAGAATTGCACTGGCAGTAAGCTCTTTGGGTATGGCTATCATATTGGCAGGTGACGTCATCACCACAAAGCTTGTCTTCACATTCATAGACTCTCTCACAGTATGGTCCACCCGTGCCTGTCAAACACACGCAGATGTCCTGCAAGCAACGTGCTCCGTTTGCGCATGCGTGTTTGTCATCGCACATGGCTGAAAATAAAGGTGCATATTTAGCAATATTAGCCTGTTAACAATGTAGGAAAAGTAGTTTTTAAAAATCAGAGTAAATACCGAAGTACAAAATTCTCCCTACAAATTTAAAATGGTAATAAAAGGATTTAATTTAAGATTTAGAAAAGAATTTGGACATTTTGATGTTTTATAAGACACCAAGACATTTTAATAATTTAAAGATCTTTACACAGGTACGATGTAATATTTTTAAGTGCTTGTGAAATTCTTTTAAAAACGCTTGATTTTTGGAGAGTTATTTTTCTATCACTTTTAATAATGTGGACTCTCAGATTGACAGGTCTAATAAATATAATATAATCTATAATTAATTACAGTCTGATTATCTAATTTTATTGCATTATTTGATTTTCATAATAATTATTTAGAACTTCCAGGCTGATTGGTCTAATAAATGTAACATCTATAATTTATTTACTATCTGATTATCTAATTTTATTGTGTTATTTGATTTTCATAATACAGAACTTCCAGGTTGATTGGTCAAATAAATGTAACATAATCTATAATTACAAACTGATTATCTAATTTTATTGTGTTATTTGATTTTCATAATAATTATTTAGAACTTCCAGGTTGAGTGATCAAATAAATGTAACTTAATCTATAATTAATTACAAACTAATTATCTAATTTTATTGTGTTATTTGATTTTCATAATAATTATTTAGAACTTCCAGGTTGAGTGGTCAAATAAATGTAACATAATCTATAATTAATTACAAACTAATTATCTAATCAGACAGCCCTATATAGAGTTGTCGGGTTCACCCGATATTTTATAGTCATTATTCGGCCAACATAAGCCCTATATACCAATATCGGCCCCATATGGAAGCAATATGCCCCATATGGAAGCAATTCTGATTCTTAATTAAAACAATAAAAACAACAAAAAATATCGTTCAAATGATGAATTTCTCTTTTATTCACAACTCAAGAAGAATTTATGGGATCTCTCTAGTCCCATATCTCAAAAATTAACTCAACAACTTCTAAAAAAAATTATCAAACAGCAGCAGTCGCCATAGCAACGCATGCACACTGTTTACTACTACTCTTGAACACAGTTAAAAAGTGTGATGTCCTAATAAGGAGCGCTCACCATTTACTCTAAACAACACCCATTTAGCCAATGGGTAATAATTTATAAGAGCGAATGCATCCAATATTGATGTGAGCTTTCTGAATTACATAGTACTTTTCTCTTTCTGTTTGTTTTTATAAATATACGGTGTATCACCATGTTGTATAAAAAATATGATTTCCAATTAAAATGTTATATAAAAACACAGATTCGATGGAGAAAATAAGTAAACTACTTACGTGTACAGATACTATAATTTCCTGCTTTGAATCCAGGTTCACATGTACAAACTTTCTTACCATCTTCAAATTTGCAGTCTTTTGAATGACTGCCACAATCACATTCTGAAATTTTTACGAGTACCTTAAATATTCATTTATGAATGAACATTCAACTATAAGAGACTATAAAAGATCGTTGTATACAAGAACATTATCTTAGATCATATGTAAGCAAATACAAAAAAATGATAATAACAATGATTTCTATTCTATGTAAGTTAAGCTAAATCAGATGATTCCAGACACAGACGCCATCGATAATAAAAGGAATCTTTACTATTTATCATAACATCTAACGTATACAGTCCTCTCGAAAAAATGTTTCTTTGTAGTGGCAACATTTCCATGTCCGAATCTTAGCTCTAAAGTTAAAAAAAAATAAGACTGAGGGAAATTTTTTTATTGCATTTATAACAAAACTTGATCTTACCTAATCCGAGGATTTCAAAATTGTAATGAGTTTTATTCCGAAAACTACAGATTTTCTTTGTTTTTAAAATTGTATTTTTAGTTAAATTTATTTCTTCGTCTGATTGTACAAGTTTATAAAGAACGTAAAGGATTGTATAGATACATGTACGCTTGTGCATATACGTATAATGGGTATAAAACATAACACTTAAGCTGAAAAACATATGACCTTAACATATTGCGTCATAAACGGTAATGAAACGCCCACTTCTTACAATACTCTCTGCAGCAGAGAAATGACCATTTTGCCAACTTCAGTAATTAATAGGTTTAATCGAATTCACACGCATTGTACATTTAATTAATTAATTAATTTCATTACATTATTATTAAGTTTAGATGGCAATACATTTTTAGGCTTCTTCTTTAATTCATATCAATTAATAATCTGAATTTGATGCAAAAGAACTTTATTCAGCGAATATTTTTTTAAAAATGTTCTTCCGAGACGTGGTGCTCAGGAGGTAGAGCGGTCGACTTCCAATGAAGTGAACCGGATTCGAATCCCAGCAATAGCTGGTCGATATGCACCCAGCTCGCACCGACTACAGTGCTGACGCAAAATATCGTCAGTGGTAGACAGATCATGGGCTAGGTTAGAGTTCCCTTGCCATCAGGTTAACCGTGGGATGTTTTCGTTGTTTTTCTCTCCATGTAACGCAAATGCGGGTTAGTCCTCCAAGAAGATATATTTCTCCTAATACTTGATCCAGGAATTTCATTGTCTTCTGGATTGTGTTCAAAATTACAAGTCTATAGAGTTGAACATTAGTACAAAACATTGGGGCGGCTGTTCAATAACGGTTATAATAAAATATATATTCTTCCTAAAGCTAAGTGTGGATGAAGGACTAAGTTTCCTGCAAAATGCTTCTCTGCCAAGTATTTCGATTTCTTCACTTTAGACTCCATGTTCTTCCATCCGTTCACATTAGACTCTACGTCTACTCCGCTCCTTCGCGTGTCTAGAACAACTTATTTAAATGAAAGAAATAAAATTATATAGTTTTGTAATGTTGGTCCCAACTATAAATTATTTTTTTTCGATGTTTACAATCAAAACCATTGGACGGAGAAAAGTGTGCTCACATTTAAAATATAAATTGTGTTATCAGTTTTGCTTATTTTGAGAGAATGCATATCTAATTAAAATATCTAGTTTAGATATTTGATTTACATATTCTACCTATTCTTAAATTACATTTTATATAATGACTTATCTCAAAACATGAAATAAAAAGGAAAATGCATTACTTTCACAGATGCCATTCAGTTCGTTATACCCTGGATTACAAAAACATTCTTTAACACCGTTTTTGAAAACACAACCTTTAGATCCTTTACCACATTTGCAATCTGTAAAGAGATGGATAAATTACATAAGTGGAAGTGAATCCTGTAAAAAATTGGAATATTACCTAATTAAAAACTTTGTTTAAAAATATATGAATTAAAAATAACTGTTGACAAGTTTCAAGCACTCAATATATATATATATATAGTTGCTAAAAAAAATTGCGATCGCT